AAACTGAGAAATTTTATTGTTTGTTGAAATATATAGGCCCATTTTGAATTTGATGTCCCAAACACGTTCCAAAAAAGTTGGAATGGGGGCAACAAAAGGCTGCTAAAGTTATGTAATGCTAAAAAAAACACCTGGTGGTTGATTGGCAACAGGTCAGTAACATGATTTGGGTATAAAAAAGCATCCCAGAGAGGCTGAGTCCTTCAGGAGTAAAGATGAGGAGGGGTTCACCACTCTGTGAAAGACTGCATGATCAAATAGTGCAACAATTCAAGAATAATGTTTCTCAACATAAAACAGGAAAGAACTTTAGCTTTTCATCATCTACAGTACATAATAACATGTAAAAGATTCAGAGAATCTGGAGAAATCTCTGTACACAAGGGACAAGGCCAAAAAACAGCATTTGTTGGCCGTGATCTTCGGGCCCTCAGGTGGTGGAAATCACTGCACTGCAACATTTCACACAGGTGATAAAACACAGTGGTAAACATGCCCCCGTCCCAACTTTTTTGGAATGTTTTGTTGGCATCAAATTCAAAATAGGCATAAAGTTTTCAAAAAACAATTAAAGTTTTTTTTATATGTTGATATGTTGTCTTTATAGTGTTTATACATGAAATATAATATAAAAGTAATATAATATAAACGTGTATAATACAAGTGTTTATAATGAAATAAAGGGTTTAAATGATTTGCACATTGTTGAATTTTGAACTTTTTTGGAAATGGGGTTGTATTTCTGAGTTTACTCGGCTACATCATTGGAAATCATCTGTACAGAAGAAACAAAAGCAGAACAAGATATGTGAGAAAAAAAGTTTTGAGTGCTGAGACTGATCAGTCTGCTCTGCTAGTGCACATTTACACATTTATGTGAACTGTGTAAGGAACAAGGTGTACATTAAATTACATGCATTTCATGATAAGATGTAATGTTTTGCTATTTAATGTGTTGTGTGATATTATATTCAGGATTTTGTGTGCATGTGTTGTGATTGTACCTGCCTATTTTTATTTATCCCTACATGGTCATGTCAGCAAAAAGAAGGTAATCAACATTTCTTTGCAAACTCCACATTTCAAATATGGTTTAGAGAGTTTTATTATTACAAAACTTCTAGTGCTAACTTTAAATATTTTGCAACATTTCAGGTATTATAATTTAAATCAACAGTAATGCGGTCACAGGCAATTTATTCAACTCAAATAAATCCTTTACATGTAATAATGCAAAGCACAATTTTAGTTTAGTTTCACATCAGTTCAGACCTTACAAACATTTCAAATCAAATTGATTTGTCCTACGGTGTATGATCTTTTGAGAAAATTGAAAACTGTCAAATCAAAAGCACTATAATCCAAGCAGCACTAACCAAAACAGTTACTATGAAACATTAAAGCATTATAACCTGCTTTGGCAACATAAGCATATTGTAAAGAAACATAAATCAAAAAAGCAAGTTCTCAAACAACCTTACAAAGGGACCATAATGCTGATATTTGGATAATACATTACCAGACACTTTTCAGGAAAGCAGAGTTCACTATAAATCCTTAGTAAAACCATTTAAACAAAAAGCTTGAAGAGCTAAATCTCACTGTTATAAGGATAATATAAGCCTTCTCAATTGCAGAGCAGGAATGCAAGGAGAAAATGAATAACTCAGACCACAAAAAGCACGTTGTCCTAATGGTGTACTGAATGACATGGCAAAATCTTGAAGTTCTATTTCAATTGGCTATTCTTAAAAAAAATAATTAATCTGGTCTGGAGCCATAGACTAACAACAGCCATCATTAAACTTCAATTAATCTGTGACAATAGTTATCTGAGTAATTTAATGTGTCTCATCTTAAATTCTAGATTAATAAATTAATAAATAGTTCAAATTGTATTTTTACCAAATTACTGTACCAATGGGGGTGGGAATCTCTAGGCACCCCAAAATTGGATTCAGAGGGCTGCGATGCGATTAGAAAACGATTATCAATGCTTCTTGATGCATTTGTTCTATACAGAATTTCTTTTCTTCTCACTGTGTGACAACTTCGAACTTTTAAAGCACGGTATTTGTAATAGTCTGTAATGAATTTATTTCCAATATCTTTTATTAGTAAATCAAACAGAAGACGTGCCAAATCAACTGGATCAACGTTTCTCTGTGACAGGTGTTACAGCTTTCCTAACTGTTTTATTTAGTGATTTCATAACTTCGGTTCTGGTCTCATTGTAGAGAGTGGGGGGGTCGTTGTGTCAGTAAAATATCTTCGAGATTGGATACTGTATCTTGGCTCCAAAGTGTGCAACACAGAGAGAAAGCCCTGGTTCTCAAAGACTGTGCATGGATGCAAATAAAAGTTGTGAAAGAGTTTGTAGTTCACTTCATCCTTTATGAGTTAAGTGGAGGATTTGACATTGCTTGCTTGATGGTCCTCTGGTTTGCAGCAAGTACAACCGGGAGGAAAATGGGTGGAAATGTGTAACATGGTTTTCCCCTTTCAACTCCATAGAAGCCAAAGTGCTTCCATCTGCTAGTTCAAGGGTTGGGAACCTGCAGCTCTTTTACTGGCCTGTCACGGCTTTATATCAGAATTAGATACCAAGATAAAAATAAAATAAACCTTGCAGTAAAATAAAGCTCTGCTTATCATTCTAACACATTTTTAACAATAAATGATCTTATACTCTGGAATTAATGTAGCATATAGCTGCTAGTTCACCTAGCTAATAGCTAATGAAAAGGCAAAAAGAAAGATTTAAGACAAACATCGATAATTTGAAGGTGAATAATTATTTGCATTTATAACCACTCAAGCTGGTTTCCTGATCCATTTAATCTGCAACGAGAAACTGTCAAACACTAGAAAAACGTGAAACTGAAGTCAGTTTATCATTCTCCAGCTTCATGCTCAAATTTCCCCATTCCACCTTAAATGGTGCAGCAGTTACATTCTCACGCCTCGTAAAAAGTAGAACATTGAGAGACGTTTTACAAGAAACTGTTCTACTCTTGTGGAAAATTTTTCAGCTGGTGGTGCAAGAAATGTGGCTACAACTGAGATAAAACTTAAAGCAGAGCAAAGTAAGTCTGTGTTTTTGTTTGCATTATATTTTTAGCCTACACTAGGACATTAGCACATACTGAGACACATGTACAGCCAAGATGGTAAAATGGACGCAAAATGTTGTGGCTCCCAAGTTGGTTTGATTTTTGTCGAATATAGCTCACATTTGGGTTGCCGACCCCTGCACTAGCTTTTAATATAATGTACATGTCACAGACTGTCTCAACATTATGTTATCAATTAAAATGTAGAAAATTGTTTTTTGACATTTGTGAATCAATTCAGAATTGTCCACATCTGCACTGCGATGCATCTAAGAATCAATTTTTCCCCCACCCCTATGTACTAATGGTAAAAATTACACCCTGCATATCATTCCAAAATTACATGTCTAATATAAATAAATAAATATTTTCATGGTGTATTGACTTCTATTTTGTGCCAAAGTTTATTTTTTTGGAACTTAAAGAAAGGAATACATATGAGCTAATTAAATAAAAGTAAACAGGAAATAAAATAATAAAAATCAGTAATAAACAGACAAACTAGATCTCCCAGGACTACTGTTTGTGCTAAACACTATTTAATATTTCTATTAATAAATTGGCAAAATGGTCCTGCAGACCCCTACAGAGCAGAATAGTAGAAGCTGGACCTCCTTTTACAAAAAACCTAACAGTGAATTGACTGAGAGGAAAAGCATGCAGTATATACTATAAACCAAATTGCAGTCAGAATTCAAGCACAGCTAGTAGAGCCCAAGAGAGTCCAAACTATACATGGTGAAACAGCATTTAGCCGTTATGCCACACACAACTGGAACAAACTGCCAAAAGGTCTTAGATGTGCCCCAAATGTAAGGATTTTAAAAATATGGGTTAAAAACATTACGCATGTGTCTATGATTGAACTTCAAGACTTACAAATCTAATATAATAATAAATTTTATTAGAGTTCAATCATAGGCACAAGTAATATTCAATAAGCTAATTTTAATTACACTTAAATCCTTTGTTTTAAATTCGTTTTATTTTTATGCTTTCTTACTGCACTTTACTCTTAATAAGCTAATTCTAATACTACTGAAGTCCTTTGTTTTAAATTTCCTTTTATGTTGTTACTCAATGTTTTCTGGAGTTTACCCTTGATAAGCTAATTCTAATAACATTTAAGGTTTTTGTTTTATATTCCCTTTAATGTTGTTTCTACATTGTTATTTCTTTAAGTTAGGTTTTTCTAACTATCTTTGCAACAGCTGTTCTGTGGTGCTTAAGATGCCTCAAACTGTATTATTTAATATTATTTAATGCTTGTATTTTTCTGTGTTTGTGTAAAGCACTTTGAATTGCCACTGTGTATGGTGTTATACAATTGTTAATATTTGTTTTGTCAGTAATGCAATTTAAATTGAATGGAAAGAGAGAGAGAGAGAGAGAGAGAGAGAGAGAGATAGAGAACACATTCTGAATTCAACGATGGAGCTGCATTTTCTGTGCTATCACTCTGGGCTTATTAATTTCACACTGTGGTGAGAGAAAAGGTGACTGATAGGGATGTAGGAAGTGAGCTGCAGCACCCCCTGATTTTAGAATTTCATCTTTTATAAATAATAATAATGAAAGTTCTAAACTTTAGAATAGTAGCCTTGTTTAAAGGCAGAGTTGTGCAGAGCTGTTGGCTGGTTCTGAACCCCAAAACAGCCTAATATTGTTTTTCAACAGTATTTATTTAATCTAATATTATAATAAAGTTTCTTATTTGAACTGTTACATTTCCTTGGTGCGCATTCCAGTAATAAATCTCACCATGTCACTGTGAAGTGTGACAGAGAATCTAGGAGAGTGAGCTACACACACACACACACACACACACACACACACACACACACACACAAAACACACAAACACACCTTTGACCTTAGTAACTCATACCTGAGTATGTTGAGTGAGCAGTGTGGATCCTCCAGTCTAGCAGATAGCAGCTTCTTTCCAGCCACTCCTGGATGATTGTAGGTCAGATCCAGTTCTTTCAGGCATGACGAGTTCGAATACAGAGCTGAAGCCAGATAAGAACAGCCTTTCCCTGTTACCATACAAAAAGATAATCTGCAGGAAGAGACGAGGAAGATGAAGACAGACAGTGAAAGACACGATACATTTATTTATCAAACAGAACAAAAACATTAATTAGTTTATATTAAAATGTAACTTTTTTATGGACTCCCACAATGTTCAGTTGTAGGACCTTTACCCTTTTCAATTTGTACATGTTATTTTCATAGTTGTACTAATGATTCATAATTATTAAGACTCTGTTGAGAGAATTACCAACTGTGTGTCAAAGCATAAAATCCTGATGTTTGTCCCCATTTTACGATTCACTCCAAATTAGCTTAAGCTAGAGGAACTATATACATTGTATCTGTTGCATTATTTGTAACAATAATCATTGTAACTACATAAACAGAACAGTTCTCTTAAAAGTTCAGCTTGTTTTTGATTGTTTGAATAGAAAATACTGAATTACAGCTCATTTATTATTTAGTGATTAATTGACAGAAATCTGACCTGAGTATCTGCAGTTTACAGTGTGAACTCTTCAGTCCAGCAGAGAGTAGCTCCACTCCTAGATCCTGCAGGTCATTGTCACTGAGGTCCAGTTCTTTCAAGGAAGAGGTTTGTGATTCTAAAACTGACCGCAGAATCTCACAGGACTGTTGACTGAGTTTACATATAGCAAGTCTGGGAGAGGAAATGGAACACATTACAAATGTAACTAAATTTATTTGCATATATGGAACTGTGCAAACTATGTACACTATATATAGTGCAAACTATACACTATATTCGCTTGTCTGCCTTCACACGCATATGAACTTGAGCGACATCCCATTCTTAATCTATAGGGTTTAATATGATGTCAGCCCACCCTCTGCAGTGATAACAGTTTCAACTTTTCTGGCAAGGCTTTCAACAAAGTTTATGAAAGTGTTTATGGGAATTTTTGACCATTCTTCCAGAAGCGCATTTGTGAGGTCAGACACTGAAGTTGGACAAGAAGGCCTGGCTCGCAGTCTCCGCTCTAATTCATCCCAAAGATGTTCAATCAGGTTGAGGTCAGGACTCTGTACAGGCCAGTCAATTCTTCCACACCAAATTAATTCATCCTTTCTTTGTGCACTGGTGCGCAGTCGAGTTGGAACAGAAATGGGCCATCCCCAAACTGTTCCCACAAAGTTAGGAGCATGAAATTGCCAAAATCCTTTCACTGGAACTAAGGGGCCAAGCCCAACTCCTGAAAACAACCCCACACCATAATCCCCCCTCCACCAAACTTTACACTTGGCACAATGCAGTCAGTGAAGTACTGTTCTCCTGGCAACCGCTAAAACCAGACTCGTCCTGCACATTGCCAGACGGAGAAGTGTGATTCGTCACTCCAGAGAACATGTCTCCACTGCTCTAGGGTCCAGTGGAGGTGCTTTACACCGCTGTATTTGATGCTTTGGATTGCACTTGGTGATGTAAGGCTTGGATGCTGCTGTTCAGCCATGGAAACCCATTCCATGAAGCTCTCTATGCACTGTTCTTGAGCTAATCTCAAGGCCACATGAAGTTTGGAGGTCTGCAGCGATTGACAGAAAGTTGGCGACCTCTGAACACTATGCACCTCAGCATCCGCTGACCCTGCTCTGTCATTTTACGTGGCCTACCACTTTGTGGCTGAGTTACTGTCATTCCTAATCGCTTCCACTTCGTTATAATACCACTGACAGTTGACTGTGGAACTGTGGACTGTGGAGTTGACTTAGTAGTGAGGAACTTTCACGACTGGACTTCTTGTACAGGTGGCATCCTATCATGGTACCACGCTGGAATTCACTGAGCTCCTGAGAGTGAGCCATTCTTTCACAAATGTTTGCAGAAGCAGTCTGCATGTCTCGGTGCTTGGTTTTATACACTTGTGGCCATGGAAGTGATTGGAACACCTGAATTCAATTATTTGGATGTGTGAGTGAATACTTTTGGTAATATAGTGTATTTATTTATTTTTTTTAAAAAAGACATTTTACAGTTATAAAACAGTTTCTAGATTTTTCCCCAGTATTACAACAACCTAGCCTTCACTGGGAGAGTAAATACAACAGATTGTGATCTATACTCAAAGGATGATTTTAATGGAACATACAACTAATTGCAAACTTTCATGTTTTCACTGTTAACAGAAGTAGTACATTAGTGTGAAAAACATTAAAATGCCTTAAAACCTATTTGAGAATGTAACATTTGTTCAATGTAAATTAAAGAAATATCAATAATCCTTTAAACTTAACAGAAAGAAGACATTAGCAGAAAAACAAAGTTGAAGAGAAAGGTGATGATGCCCTTGAATGCTTTGTTGCTTGTGCACACAGACATGCAGACAGCCACAGAAGTAAACCAGGCTGAGCCAGAAAATTTCACAAGACATTTCTAATTGTCTCTGCTTTTAGTATATTAACAGTAGACACACTACTTTATTATGTGTGGTAGATTGCTGTCTCAGGGAGCAGTATTAATATGGGAGCACACAATAGTTTGTATTGAGTACAGCCTGCTCAGCAGTGTAGCCATGCCTCAACAATGCCAAATAAATGAAAGCAACATTATGCAAGAATTGGTATTTGTGCTCTTGGGGTTCCCCAACAGTTTCAGAGTGTAATTCACTTCTGTCATAAATGTAAATTGTGCTTTGAGCCCCTTTATGGACAGCTGTACATGTGCATTTGTTGATGAGCTGAAGTATACAGAATCCAGCCCTGCTTCGCATGCACATGCATCATGCAGGCATATGGCCACTACAGATTACACTTGTAATTTTAATTGTTTCTATATGTAAACAACTTAAATGGTTTAAGTCAAGTTTAGTCTTGAGGATCCATATGCCTTTGATGTGTGTGTACGTGAAGGGGAGTTCGAAGTCGGCACAAGTCCCAAGCTGCAAGCTGGGGGCGGTGACAAGGAGGCGGAGCAGCGAGCTCTCGTTCCCTCTCAGCTGGGGTGCTCACAGCACCTTAAGGTGCTGGCTTACTACTAGTACCTAGAGCCTTCTCATACAAATCCCCCCAGCTTCGGAATAATCTTCCTGTTAATGTTCGGGACTCAGACACAGCCTCAGTGTTTAAGTCTAGGCTAAAAACTTCCTTGTATAGTCAAGCCTTTGGTAATTAGTTTTCCCTGTCAGATCTAGACCTGACGGAGTCTCTGCTGCTCTGTTAATACTGTAATCTGTTATCACAGAACTAACTCTGTGTGTTTTTCCTTTCTTTGCTGAGTTGAAAAGCTGCCCATATTGTGCGTCTGATGCTATTGCCTCTTCTGCCTTGATCGGGTGCTCACTGCTCGTCAGCCTTCTGGACCGGCTTGACCACCATTGAGCTTCATGCTGTACAACTCTGATCAGTCCTGACCCTCAGATGTTGGTGCTGCCACTGCATAATCATAAACTAATCAAATTAACCATTGCTCCACCTCTTTTTCCCGCTTTGTACTATAATACTTTATACTAACAATGTTTGCTATCTGGTGTTGACCAGAGGAAGACGGGTTCCCTTCTGAGTCTTGGTTCCTCTCAAGGTTTCTTCCTCCTTCTTCTTCCTTGCCACTGTCACCACCGGCTTGCTAATGGGGACGCGGCCCTGGATTTTCTTTCTGTAATGCTGATTTTTCTGTAAAGCTGCTTTGTGACAACAGCTCTTGTAAAAAGTGCTATATTAATAAACATTGCTTTGCTTTGCTTAAGGAGAGCCAACTGATGCTGATCTGGCTGGCAGCGTGGGCACATTTTAAAAAGAGCAGAGAGGGAACAGAGGTCAGAAAGCGAATAATTTCACATAATTTTATGAATTACTATTTCTGGTCTGAATAGTGAAGTGACTATGAAAAATTGATGATAAAAATAGTGTTTAATGTGCCTCATCTGATCAAAGTCCGTGGCACTAGTCAAATGTGGAAAGCAAAAATCATTTAAAATTAAATAAATTTAAAGGTCCACTAGACTGGTTGTCCTATCCCTGAAAGTGTAAGATCATTACGAATACCCTTTAAGCAATTGTGCAATAAGGAGCTTATTCATATTCAGCTAATTTACATTAGACAATTCATGTATGACAATGATTTACACTTTATACCAAAAGACTAAAGGGCCAAACACTAATTTGGCCATTTTTTTTAAATGAATGTATGAGAATAGTGTTAATAATTTAGCACAACACAAAATACTGTGGGGTCTTGAAAAAAACTAAATAGATATGCTTTGAGCGACAGAGAGCACGTCACTGCGAGCGACAGAGAGCACGTCACTGCGAGCGACAGAGAGCAGCACACCTTAGAACTTCAGACCAAGCAGCGTCCAAACCTTACTTGAAAATTAGTTGAAAATTCTGCAGTTAGCAGGTCGCTAACCCCCTCACGTCTCTCCTTCTTATTTTTGTCTCCTCCCTCTCTTTTTTCTTTCTATCTCTCTCACAGTTATTCCCTCAGCCCATCCACCATGGCGTCCTCCCAGGAACGCGCCCTCCAGACCCTGAGCGCAGCGCTGGCCCGGCTGGATCGGCAGATCACCGCCCTGCTGAAGAAGCAGGACGAGCTCCTTCGGCAGAAGTCGAAGCTCGAAGCCGCCCGGGAAGTTTCCCCCTCGGTGGTGGCGCCAGCGTCGTCTTTCCGCGCGCCGGGAGACGCCGTTCTCACGCCAGCCCCGCATGGTCCCTGGGAACGCCAGCGCCGCAGAGGGCCCTGCAGACCCACACCGCCGCCCCAGCCGATCTTCGCCTCCAGAAACCATTTCGCCGCCCTCAGTACACTGCATACGCCCTCACCTACGTCCCGGGCCTCCTCGCCGCCGCCCGCCCCAGCGCCCCGGACCTCGTCACCCGCCCCAGCGCCCCGGGCCTCGCCGCCCAACCCCAGCGCCCCGGCGCTCTTCACAGGACTCCGTTTATGTTATTGGTAGTTCTATTGTCCGCCACGTTCAAGTAAAGGTTAGAAACACCCATGCCACTGTCTCCTGTTTTCCAGGTGCTCGTGTCTTAGATATAGCCAAGCGCCTCCCCTCGGCTCTCAGACGAAACGCCTTCGGGACCGTGGTGATCCATGTCGGGACCAACGCCATCCTCGACCGTCGTAGCGAGGTCCTGAAGGAGCACTACCAGACGCTGCTGGACACCGCCAGGAAGAAGACGGACGCCAGGATCGTCATCTCCGGACCGCTACCCACCTACAGGAGGGGATCCGAGCGGTTCAGCAGGCTCTTCGCGCTGCAGTCCTGGCTCCGCGGATGGTGCGCCCTCAACGGCTTGACCTACGTGGACAACTGGGCCTCGTTTTGGGAACAGCCGGCGCTCTTCCGGAGGGACGGCCTCCACCCTAGTCAGGTAGGATCTGTTGTTCTCTCACGGAACATCAAGAGGGCCATCCGCTGACTACACAGCGAAGGCCACGTAAGTAGCAGCAAAGATAGAAACGCTACAGCTCATAATGCTAGTGTTAGCACTGAGAATAAGACGATTATTAGCACCAGTTGCGTCAGACCAGTTGCGTCACCTAGGTTCCACTGTATTGAGACTGTGTCTCTGCCCCAAATTAAATCTAAATCTAAACGTAGAATAACTCAATCAGCCCGTTTCGACAACCTGATCAATATTAAATCATATTCAGATGATAGCAGCAACACCTCAACTCTAGAATTTGGGTTACTCAATATA